CCCCAAAACCCCAAAACCCCGAAAGGAAAATCTGATCAAACTTTAATAGGCGATTAAGAATTAATTAATATGCATTCGTATAAATATTAGTAAATTATAATAAACTTAATTATAACAAAAAATCTCCGCATGCATTAACAAGCAGAACTTTTCGATGATAATACAGGTAGTTTTAGTACTACAGATTAAGTTGAAATAAATAAAGAACAAAAGGCTTCAAGGCCGAAATCTAACCTACTGGATGGCTCTTTCGTTTAATTAGATTTGAAGGATATAGTACAATTCAACAATTCTAATAAAGAGTAACCCCTCAGTTTAACTCCTAACATTAAATCAGGTGAAGTAGCGCTTAATATGTCAAGCAATTTGGAAATTATAAATGAAAATTTTCCAAAAAAGAAATCTTCATCAGTTAATTAATCATAATTTGGAAAAATGTTTCCTGTACCTACTTAATTATAATAAACTCAGGAATAATAGTCACATCTTGACATGACAAAAAATAATAATAATATTTATAGTATACAGGGAAATAGACTTTTATTCAATCCAAATCGTAGCAGATTGAATAAATGAGTAACACAAAATCAGCCATAATTATCCATAAGCAAGTTTCAAGTCCCATTAGAATAGAACAAAGGTTAGCTTAACCAAAGCTAACTGTAGAATATTCCCTAGCTAAAGAAGCAACCTTAGAGAAAAGAAATAATGGGAAGTCTACCTGCTTTATTAAATATTAGAAAAAATAATGATGAAAAAATTCACAAATATAAAATAGATCCTCACACTCTTGAGAGCCCACTATTATTTAACTCATGCAAAAATCTTGATTAAGATTAAGACTAAACCAACATTGATTGCAATTTTTATAATTATCACGGAATTTCTATAAAAAATAGAACTAAAATGATTGATTGGATGATAAAAGTTTTAAGAGTTCTAGGGTCTCAAACTCCAAAAACATATATATAATCTATTCTAATTATGGATAAATACTTCTAGGTCATGAAATCCTAAGGTTAAAGAATCCCATAGTAAAGCTTGCACCTTGCTGGAATGGTTTCTATCTTTATTAGTTCAAAATTCGAAGATGTAGAGAAGATCAGTTTAAATGAAATATATGCCGAGGCCGGCCATAAAAAATATAAAAAATAACAATTATTATAATTTGAGAGAGAAATCCTTGAAGCTATAAAATTTGATCTAAACATTTAGAATTATTTAGATGAATGCCACTTAATGCTTTAATAATTATAAGCTGATCACGGCAAAATCAGAATATCTGAGAAGGAAAAATCCCAATTAAGTGAGATTATTGATTTTCTATGCTATCTAGTTCCGCACAGTCTATTATTATTGCAAGCTGATGTATAAATATTGACTCAAAGTATAATATAGACTGCTTTGCAATTAAGAATAAAATAGTAAGAGTGGGATTTATGCAACAAGCTAATTGGTGATGCATTGATCATTAAAGATAGGAAAAATTTACTTGATTTGCATAAACTAGAGTAAATTTTTGAAATAGTTAGACTGAGTTCAAATTAAGTTTAGGCATCCTAGATAATTGATTTTGTCTAGAAGCTTAGTGTCATTTATTTTGAAATGCATGAAGCTATCGAAAAGAGGAAGAATTTATTTAAAAAATATCCTTAGTATTTTACTCAAGGATTTCAAGAGTTCTTCTAAGAAATTAGATACATTTAGGATGAGAACAAAATTTGAATAAAAAAATGATATATTCAGTTAGTTCAAGATCTAATAATAATACTTGAATGATAAATTGAGACCTAAGATTAATATATACCACATTTTATCTCAATTTATTAAATTTATTTTTTTTTAAAAATCAAAATTATTTTGCTAGTGGGGTTTTGGGGTTTTGGGGTTTTGGGG